TTTTTTTTTGTAAAGTAGATTTCAGGAGTATCCAAACTCTTACACATCCTATTTTCTGTGCAGACTCTGGACGAAGAAAGATCGACGCACATGGAGAAGACTGGAAATTTGGAACACGAATTCAAAGTCATGCACGAGCAACTGACATCTGAAATCAAACTGCTCAGTAAGTAAACTCTTGTAATTTGTACTGTTTCTGTACGCACGTAATAACCGAATGAAGTAACGGGTGATTTGGGGGTATTTTATAAAAAGCATTTTAGGTGAGAAACAGAATTGGTATGTTAAGAACTGCATTTAATTTAATTTTACATTATATAATTCCAACTTTTGAATTAGAGCTATGTTATTTGATTAAATATTGCATTTTTTTAAAAATCATCCTGCTACATAACGTGAACCTTGATTGTCATATTTGGCACGCACCGGTTTCTAATTCACAGCTGGCAAACTTAATTCGCTGGAGGAATTTCGTCTTCAGCGCGATGACCTCTTAAAGAAGTTTAAGGTACAAGAACAAGACATGGCAGAACAAGAACTAAGACATAAACAAACACTCTATGAAGTGGAGAGAAAGTTCATTATTGGAAAAGACAAGTATGTATATAAGTTGAGAAATTAACATGGATTCAGTCCTGTATCGTTCATTGTGAAGTTTTGAAGTATTTTAATTTTTTATCTTTAACAGCAATTTAATTTAATGTGTAGTTCATCTTAGTCGAAGAATTATTTGCGGTCAACCAGAGGATCAGCGTTTGTTTCAGGGTGCATGAACAAGTGTCAGTATGGATTGTTGTGATGCTGTTTCTTATCTTACAGACTTAAAAAGGAAATGGAAGCAAAACTCCTTCAGTTGTCCATCGACTTCCAAGATGCTACACGTGTTCGAATTGCTGCAACCACACACCGCACAGTAAGGGAGAACATTGCTGTAAACAATGAGGTAATTGTTGCATCATGCCTCAGAGTAGCTACAAAATATAATTTTATAAGTCAAACAGAAGCTACAGTAGGG